TTTAACTTACTTAAATATATTTTTATTTATACTAATTTTATTTTACATTTTTTGAAAATATTTTATTATCAGATTTTGTACAAGATTGAACTTTTTATTCTTTTGTAAAAAATTGATATTGATGATTTGAATATTGGGTGGTCAAAAATCTACAAAAGCAGCTTGCAACATTAATGACATTTATATTCTTTGGAAACATTTTCCCACTAGATTTTACATAGTATACAATATACTATTCTTCCATAAAAAATTAACATTGATAATTTGTAAGAATATTGAATAATAAAAAAGTTACAAAAGCAGTTCCCAACATTAGTGACGTTTATATTCTGTGCAAATTATTTTCCACCAGATTCTGCATAGAACAGAATTTCTTATTTTTATAAAAAAAAATTGACACTGATTTGAAGGAGTATGGATTGATAAAAAAGTTTGATTTCGTTCTGTCTCACCTCACGAAAATTGTGATGTAAGCTATAACTCCAGTCTACTCAAGATTGGTTTCCCAAGTTCAAAAATGGCAACCTCAACCCTCGCGTATTTCGTTGAAGGTCTCAAAACGATTCTAAAGGAAAATGGTCGTCAAACGTTACCCCAAAAAATTAACCTTCAATCCGTAACAATCTTGCCTTCATTCTTTACTAAAAAAATTGGTGCCACAAAACTTGATGGAAGCAAAGAAAATTATCGTGAAAAAGCAGCTCAAAATCTCGTCCAAGATTTTTATACAGAATTTGCACTATAGAGAAGTAGTTTGATGAAGCAAGAAAGAGTGACTGTGATGAAAGGCAAAACAGAAAATGTACTTCTTTGCTTCCTACAACTTGCAAGCTTGAAGTCTCTTTAAAATTAATCAACTCAAAAGGCTGTCGTCTTATGTTCGATCGTTAATAATTTCAAATTAAGTGTAAATTCACTGAAAGGTATAGTGTTAATCATCCTTAAATTTGGGGATGAGAATCCTAAAATGGCAGTCGATAAAAATTCACAAAATGTCATCTTACGTTCCATCGTTAATAATTTCAAATGAAGTGTAACTACACTGAAAGGTATAGTGTTAGTCATCCTTAAATTTGCGGATGAGAACCCTAAAATGGCGGTCGATAAAAATTTGCAAAATGTCGTCTTACGTTCCATCATTAACAATTTCAAATAAAGTGTAAATACACTGAACGGTATAGTGTTAATCATCCTTAAATTTGGGGATGAGAATCCTGAAATGGCGGTCGATAAAAATTCACAAAATGTCGTTTTAAGTTCCATCATTAATAATTTCAAATAAAGTATAAGTACACTGAAAGGTATAGCGTTAATCATCCTTGAATTTAGAGATGAGAATCCCAAAATGGCGGTCGATAAAAATTTACAAAGTGTCCTCTTACGTTCCATCATTAATAATTTCAAATAAAATGTAAGTACACTGAAAGGTAGTGTTAATCATCCTAAACTCCTAAAATCCTAAAATAAGAACCCTAAAATGGCGGTCGACAAACATTTGCAAAATATTTCTTTTCGCAGCAGCTCTTGATAGTCGTCGATTTTCGTGGTCCCTATGACGTAGTTGCCATGAAACGAAAAAAAAGGGTGCACACGAATGTAGCCCCTTGGTAATGCGCGAGGGGGTCCAACGAAATTATGGATCGGACCTAGATACCACATCTGCGCATGACCACCGTTGGATCGTTCTGCCTTTCTTCATCCTGTTTCTACCGCCTTCTCCTGCATGCACACACCTATTCCCCTAACTGTCTTCGTTTCGCCTGGTCCCCCACATCCCCCTTCTTCGCCATACGTTCTAACAATGTCAAACACCATATCCTAGTAATTGTTACAGATTCCTGAATTACGAGCTTAATATTAGCGGAGCGGAAAAATATCTTTATACTGTTATCTACCTTTTATACTGTTAATGTTAGCTCGTCAAACTGAGAGGAATATATATTGTACTTATGTGTATCTTTAGTCTTAATTAGGAGCGTATGCTGCATGTGACTGTACTTTTACATTTGAGCAAGAGAAATCTATGTTGCGTGCAGGGTACTGTCAGGTGCAATGTGGGAAAGTGGGAGTGTCAGGTACTCTGGGGATTTCTTGCGTTTTTATTAGAATCGAGGAATTAGATTAGGGATATCTTTTATGAAATGTGGATTAGTTTTAATCTTGTAATGTGAGGATTGTAGGGTTGGGGAGAATTTTTGCGATGGGAATGTGGGTTATTAGGTCAGATTTTTGGGATATTACAATTTTCCAATTTTACAAATTTTCAAATTTCCAATTTGCACTATTACAATTTTTCCAATTTTCATATTTCCACTGTTCCAATTTTCCAATTTCCCATGGTTCAATTTTCCAATTTTCCACTTTCCCATTTTCCCATTTTCCAATTTTCCAATTTTCCAATTTCCCACTTTTCCAATTTTCCAATTTTCCAATTTCTCACGTTTCCAATTTTCCACTTTCCCACTTTTCCAATTTTCCAATCTTCCAATCTCCCAATTTCCCCATTTCCCACTCTCCCACAATTCCAATTTTCCACTTTTCCAATTTCCCACTTTGCCAATTTTCCAATCTCCCAATTTCACAATTTCTCACTGTCCCCATTTTCCAATTTCACAGTTTCTTACTTTTCCAATTTCTCGATTTCCCATTTTCCTAATTACTAAATTTTCCAATTTCCTAATTTTCTTCTTTCCCAATTTCCCAATATCTAAATTTCCTACTTTCCCAATTTCCCAATATCTAAATTTCCTACTTTCCCAGTTTCTCACTGTCTCCATTTTCCAATTTTCCAATTTCTTACTTTGTTAGTTTACCAGTTTCCTAACTTTCAACTTTCCCAATTTGCTATTTACTATATTTTCCAATTTCCTAATTTCCCAATTTCTTAATTTCCGTATTTTTTAAGTATCAACTTTCAAAATTTACAAACGTCCCAAATTCCAAAATTCAATGTCATCCACATTTTTAAATCCCCTTTCTCAAAATTTTTAAAATCCCTCAATTCAAATTTCCAAATCCCCTACTTTGCAATTTTCCAAATCCTCCAACTCCTCAAGTTTCAAACACCCAAAGTTCATTAACACATTCCCAAATCCTCGAAATCGGACTTAACTCGTAACACGGTCTCGCGATACAAATTGCTTCAAGAGTAGCATTATAAGTTGTACCCGGTATAAATCAACCTGGCTAAGCTTCCTCGTACTTTACGAACTCATAAACTGCGCGATCACTGCGGTTGAATTAATTATAAACAACAGTAATATAAATTGCTGATTCGTACTTGTGCAGTTGTGTTTTACCGACACACTACATGGACACTGGGACGTAGAATTGTGGGCAACGTGTCAATTAAACTTGATGCTCCGTTGGCATCACTTAGTTTATGATGTAACGATTACAGACACGCTAAAGAATGTCTGATAATTTATTGTTAACTATGCTATTATCGATGTGCGTTGTACTTTGTTTATAATTTTTATTTGGGAACGAAGAAATATTTACAAAGTTACAACGTTACAATATTGTTATACTATTTTATTGTGATATTAGTGAATTTTTGTATAGGATTGTTTGAGAATTTGTTAACCCTCTTTAGTTTAGATTATTTGATCTAATGTGTTTGAATGAATTTTTTTTGGTATTTATTTAGTATAATTTGTTATACAATTTGTTGAAACAAATCATTTTTATATACATCATTTTTATTTTGATCTATTAATCAGATATGTAAGTCTTCTACATATGAAACTAATATGTAAATCTTGTACATATGGATCTAATATGTCAAGCTTTGATATATTAGTGTGACACGTAAGTCTTCTACATATGAATTTATATGCAAATTTACATAAGAATCTAATGTATACATTCTTCATGTGTAACTCTTCTACATATGAAACTAGTGTGTAAATTTTCCACATACGAATCTAATGCAAAACCTTGATATATTAGTGTGACGTGTAAGTCTTCCACATGTGAATCTATGTGCAAATCTACATAAGAATCTAATGTATACATTCTTCATATATGAATGTCGTGTGTAACTCTTCTACATATGAAACTAATTTGTTAATCTTCCACATACGAATCTAATATATAACCTTGATACATTAGTGTGACGTGTAAGTCTTCCACATGCGAATCTATGTGCAAATCTACATAAGAGTCTAATGTATACATTCTTCATATATGAATGTTATGTGTAACTCTTCTACATATGAAACTAATATGTAAATCTTCTACATACGAATCTAATATAAAACCTTGATATATTAGTGTGTTGTGTAAGTCTTCCACATGTGAATCTATATGCAAATCTATATAAGAGTCTAATGTATACATTCTTCATATATTAATGTCATGTGTAACTCTTCTACATATGAAACTAACGTGCAAATCTTCTACATACGAATTTAATGCAAAACCTTGATATATTAGTGTGACGTGTAAGTCTTTCACATGTGAATCTATGTGCAAATCTACATAAGAGTCTAATGTATACATTCTTCATATATTAATGTCATGTGTAACTCTGCTACATATGAAACTAATATGTAAATCTTCCACATACGAATCTAATATAAAACCTTGATATATTAGTGTGACGTGTAAGTCTTCCACATGTGAATCTATGTGCAAATCTACATAAGAATCTAATGTATACATTCTTCATATATGAATGTCATGTGTAACTCTTCTACATATGAAACTAATGTGTTAATCTTCCACATACGAATCTAATATAAAACCTTGATATATTAGTGTGATGTGTAAGTCTTCCACATACGAATCTATGTGGAAATCTACATAAGAGTCTAATGTGCACATCCTTCATATATTAATCTCATGTGTAAATCTTCCACACATGAAACTAATGTGTAAATCCTTCATATATCAATGTCATATGTAACATCCCAGAATTTTCAGAATCGTTACACATATGTAAATCTTCTACGCATATTACTATGAATTTACTTCATAAAAAATCTTTTGTTTCGCAGTAAATCCTGGAAATACTACAACAATGGGCGAGAAGACGTTCAATCTCACTTGGAACAATCATCTGGCAAATCTATCTGGATTATTTGAAGGACTATACAAGAGTGGTTCTTTGACCGATACAACGTTAGCATGCCAAGGTGGGATGCTAAGGGCTCACAGATTAGTTCTAGCTGCCTGCAGCCCTTATTTCGAAAGGGTTTTCAAGGAACACTATGGCGAGCAACCTATTTTAATTTTGAAAGGTGCGTTAACTCACTCATTCACATCACACAGCTCACATTAATGTACTCATAAATATCCACGCCCTGCTTCATTCTTTTAATTTTATATTTTTTAAGAATCTTTAAAAACTTTCATTCTTTTAATTTTATATTTTTTAAGAATCTTTAAAAACTTCAATTTTCATGAAATAAATTTTTTGTCAGATAAATAAATTGCTTCAATATTTTCACTTATTTATTCATAATAAATGAAGAGCGTATTTTTCTCGTATTCACATTGTTGCATTTGAAAGAAACCCTCTATTGATCTACTTTCTTCATTTTGTTAACTCACTCATTCACATGATACACCCACATTAATAAACTCACACGTGTCTTCCCTTTACTTCATTCTTCTAATTTTATATTTTTAAAGAATTTTTAAAAAGCATCAATTTTCATGAAATAAATTTTTTGTCAGATAAATAAATTGCTTCAATATTTTCACTTATTTATTCATAATAAATGAAGAACGTATTTTTCTCGTATTCACATTGTTGCATTTGAAAAAAACCGTCTCTCGATCCACTTTCTTGATTTTCTAAATTAAAGACTTGGTAAACAAAATTAAGGAGAGCAAATGTTAAAATAAGAAATCAAACATACCTCCTTCATCCACCGTACAAATAACGTTTCAAAGTAACACCCTGTACAATAAACTATCTCGTGTTTAAACAAGAAAACAAAATGTTGCATTAGGTGTCGCGGTAGAAGAAATGGAATGTCTGTTAGACTTCATGTACCGAGGTTCGATCGACATCGCCGAAGAACACTTGCCATCGTTGATCAAAACCGCCACGGACCTTGAGATCCGAGGTCTTTCAGGTGACCAAAGAAACCAGGAGAACAATCGTAGCCCTTATACAAGGGTCGAAACACGAATGCAACGATGTCATATAGAAACGAGAGTCCACACAACCGAGTACATGAAGGAGCCATCCGTCATCCCTTTTTTGCCGAAACAATCTTCCGTGGAATCGTTCGAGGATCACATCAAAATGGAGGAAATCGAGGTCGAAGATGACCCGATGGTGATCGATGGACATGATGATAACTTTGATGAACCTTTACGATCTTCCGAAACGCAAATTGTAAGTTTATGTTGATGTTCACTTTTTATTGGTTAGATTTTATAGGTTCATATGTAACAGCCATGTGTTTCATATGCGTCAACTAATATTATTTTTTTAATTTTGAAAGGGAAGGGTGAAAAGTTTGAGAAATTGAAATTTTGAGAATTTGGAAATTTGAGAAATTGAAACTTTGAGAATTTGGAAATTTGAGAAATTACAAATTTGAGAGATTAAAAGTTTGAGAAATCGAAATTTTGAGAATTTGGAAATTTGAGAGATTAAAAGTTTGAGAAATTGAAATTTTGAGAATTTGGAAATTTGAGAATTTGGAAATTTGAGAAATTAAAAGTTTGAGAAATTGAAATTTTGAGAATTTGGAAATTTTAGAAATTACAAATTTGAGAGATTAAAAGTTTGAGAAATTGGAAATTTGGGAGATTGAAAGTTTGAGAAATTGGAAATTTGAGAGATTAGAATTTTGAGAAATTGAAAGTTTGAGAAATTGAAATTTTGAGAATTTGGAAATTTGCGAAATTGAAATTTTGAGAAATTGAAATTTTGAGAATTTGGAAATTTGAGAAATTAAAAGTTTGAGAAATTGAAATTTTTGGAATTTAAAAATTTGAGAAAATAAAAGTTTGGGAATTTGGAAATTTGAGAAATTACAAATTTGAGAGATTAAAAGTTTGAGAAATTGAAAATTTGAGAATTTGTGAAATTAAAAATTTGAAATTATACTATTTCAAAAATCAAAAAACCTAAACGTAATAATTCAAAAAAGAATAAACTTGAAAACTAAAAATATTTTCTACAAAAGAATTAATTTCGAAGTACACATCCATACACTCTAAGAATCATAATAATTAATATTTTCCTAACATGCACATCTTTCTCCTTACATTTCACATCCAACAAAAATCGACCAATATCACGTGCTTTTTAAAAAAGCCTGTACCCATAAATAGAAAAAGCAGAGTTAACCTAATTGAGATATTTTTCGTCTTTATTTTTATCCATATCTCCCCGGCGTTATCTAATAATTAATCAAGAGCAAAGTAAGAAGGAGAGCAACTTCGTTTCATATCTTTTGATCATTAAAGTTGCGTCTCGAAAACTTCTCGGTCGGATGCATGGAATTCAAAAGTTTGGTTAAATTGAAAGAAGTTGATTCGATGGGTTCGTGCACGTACAAGCTAATGAAGTTTGTGTAAAAACTTTCGGACCTCTCTAATTTAACTTGTGTACAGGTTCGTTTCATTTCGTTGCGAAAAAACTACGTTATTAATAATAACGTGTCTTGTACAAGAATCTACCTCGCATATTAAATGAATTGCTTAATAACAAGTATAATCATTATCAAGAATTTAAGTGGGTGATGAGTTCTGATTACACTGAAGTGTTTGAATTATCTCAATTTAATTGTAATCTTATTTTTATTCGAGAGAGACAATCGTTATCGATTCATTTTAATTTAGATTGCAATTGTTATTGAAACTTTTTAACTAATATTTTATTCAAAAGTAACAAAACTAACAAATATACTAACATAACTATACTATACAATACTAACAAAAGTAAAAGTTGTTGATACACATAATTCTATCTGGTTTTTAATCTTTAACAAGCTAAATTAAAATTGGTAAACTTTTAACAAGATTTAATAAAACTTTTAAGAATTGTTTGCAATAATAAAATTTCTCTATTTATTTTGAATGGAGTAACTGAAAGATCCTCCTCATATTAGACAGTCGTCCATTTTGATTCCTCAGTCACCCGCCATTTTCATTTGTTTCATACATTATCAAATTTTAAATTGTACTCAAACTTGGAACAATACTTTACTTCAACTTCAAACTTGTCGAAAGTGTTTTAATGTCATTTGCAAATCGCATCACATTTAATAATATAGTTAAATAATATATATTACATATGTATAATAATATAGCTAAATAATATATGTAATATATGTATAATAACACAGTTACATAATATATATAACATATGTATAATAATATATCTAAATAATATACATAATATATGTATAATAATATACCTGAATAATATATATAACATATGCATAATAACATAGCTAAATAATATACATACTATGCAATGTATAATAATATATCTAAATAAAATATATAATATATGTATAATAATATACCTAAATAAAATATATAATATATGTATAATAATATACCTAAATAAAATATATAATATATGTATAATAATATACCTAAATAAAATATATAATATATGTATAATAATATACCTAAATAAAATATATAATATATGTATAATAATATACCTAAATAAAATATATAATATATGTATAATAATATACCTAAATAAAATATATAATATATGTATAATAATATACCTAAATAAAATACATATTGTATGTATAATAATATACCTAAATAAAATATATAATATATGTATAATAATATACCTAAATAAAATATGTAGTATATGTATAATAATATACCTAAATAAAATACATACTGTATGTATAATAATATACCTAAATAATATATCTAATAAAATAGCCTACACCTCAATATTTCATCACAAACAGACAAACACCCTTTTCTTCTTACAGAGACACATGCCTCCGCCCATGTACAAACGCGAAACAAGATTCAAGGGTCAGAAAAGAGTGTCCGTAGGACGTTCCACAAGGAACAGCGATCCATTAGAAATCAAGCCGAAAGATCGACTAACCTTAAAGGAAAACAGTACAAGGGACGAAAATTACGACGACTCATCGAACACGGTTAAATCCGAGCTGAATTTCAACAACGGATCCTCAGATCCCACGGTACCGGACATTCAGATGAACGACGACTTACAAGAACGAGATGAGAGTACGGTACGAACAAGAAAAACGCAATAATTACGATTGGTCTTCCGTCCATAATCACCGAACATTATCCACGCTATTCAAAATTACTTGTCATTAATCTTCTCTCATTCGTTCACGTTCAATTAACTGTGTACCGATGTCGAAGCATGAGATGGCGCGTGAAGAAGCAGGTGTTTAAATGAACACGTAGTAAAACTATACTAGTCTTATATTTTTATCTTCTTTTTTTTAAGTTCATATATGGTAGAGTTTTTGTGTTCTTGAGGTACTATGTTTATCAATTTTTGTAGACTTGAATGTTTATATTCAGGACGCTCGTATGTTCATTCATTTCTACAATTACGAATATCTATATTTTCAAGTTCCTACATCCTCAAGTTGCTAGAACCTCAAATCGTAATATCTCCGAATTTCTATATACCTAGATTGGTACCTTCCCAAATCGCGATATTCCCAAATCAGTACGTCCCCAAATCGCTATATTCCCAAATTTCTACGCGCTCAAATCGCTACGTCCCCAAATCCCTACGCCCCCAAATCGTTACGTTTCCAAATCACCACGTCCCCAAATCGCTAGGTGCCCAAATTACCACGTCCCCAAATTGCTACGTCCCTAAATCGCCACGTCCCCAAATTACCACGTCCCCAAATCGCTACGCGCCCAAATCGCTACGCGCCCAAATCGCTACGTCCCCAAATCACCACGTCCCCAAATCGCTAGGTCCCCAAATTACCACGTCCCCAAATCGCTACGTCCCCAAATCGCCACGTCCCCAAATTACCACGTCCCCAAATTACCATGTCCCCAAATTACCACGTCCCCAAATTACCATGTCCCCAAATTACCACGTCCCCAAATTACCATGTCCCCAAATTACCACGTCCCCAAATTACCATGTCCCCAAATTACCACGTCCCCAAATTACCATGTCCCCAAATTACCACGTCCCCAAATTACCATGTCCCCAAATTACCACGTCCCCAAATTACCATGTCCCCAAATTACCACGTCCCCAAATTACCATGTCCCCAAATTACCACGTCCCCAAATTACCATGTCCCCAAATTACCACGTCCCCAAATTACCATGTCCCCAAATTACCACGTCCCCAAATTACCATGTCCCCAAATTACCACGTCCCCAAATTACCATGTCCCCAAATTACCACGTCCCCAAATTACCATGTCCCCAAATTACCACGTCCCCAAATTACCACGTCCCCAAATTACCACGTCCCCAAATTACCACGTCCCCAAATTACCACGTCCCCAAATCGCTACGCGCCCAAATCACCACGTCTCCAAATCACCACGTCCCCAAATCGCCACGTCCCCAAATTACCACGTCCTCAAAACGCTACGCGCCCAAATCGCTACATCCCCAAATCACCACGTCTCCAAATCACCACGTCCCCAAATCGCTAGGTCCCCAATTTACCACGTTCCCAAATTGCCACGTCCCCAAATTACCACGTCCCCAAATCGCTACATCCCCAAATCGCCACGTCCCTAAATCGCTACGTCCCCAAATTGCTACGTCTCCTTCATCTCCAAATTCCTACATCTCCAAATTGCTATATCACGCACCCCAATTAGACCAAAAACAATGACCATCAACAAACATCCCTCAAGCAACCAATATAATACTCCTTACATTCAGCAGTTGCCATTGCCATCATAATCCTCACTTGTATGTACCCTAAGTGTTCTGTATGCAACTCTAAGTCTGCACCTCTTTTTTAATGTTAATCATCTTTAACTTTAACTCCCCGCGCCAACTCATGTGTCGACATACATATATGTGTCCAACCGTTCTTGTAAGTTCAACTTATTCCAATCTCCCTACGATGCGTTTACTCATATTATCGGATCATTCGCAGGATTCTTCCAAAGATACGAACGAAAGTTCAAGGTTAACTATAAAGAAGAAGAGCGACATCTCGTCGAAGAGGACGGCGCTGGAGGGAAAGGAGACCAGACCTATACTGCCCAAATCGGAGAAAGCACAGTATAAACCTTTTTCGTGTGATCTTTGCACTTTAGCTTTCACGAGGGCATCTCATTTAGCCAGACACAGAAGAGTTCATACGGGGGAGAGACCGTTCGCGTGTAGTATTTGTCCGAGGATGTTCGCTAGGCAGGATAAACTGAAACAACATTTGGACTCGCATTTGCAGTGGCCGAAGAGGAAGAGCAGTTTGTCGAGCTCCAGTTGTCATTCGGCGTCGTCGGTGCCTGGGAAGGGGAAGAGGGGTAGACCACGGAAGGTTAGATTCTTTTTTTTTGAAAATTTTTATTGAAATTGGTTGATGGAGCGTTAGTTTGGTGTTGGTTTATGAGATTTTAATTTTGTGGTTTTAGAAGGTTTGAGTTTTAGAATTTTAGAGTTTTAGAATTTTAGAATTTTAGAATTTTAGAATTTTAGAATTTTAGAATTTTAGAATTTTAGAATTTTAGAATTTTAGAATTTTAGAATTTTAGAATTTTAGAATTTTAGAATTTTAGAATTTTAGAATTTTAGAATCTCATCATTTTCCATACTACAATTTGACAATTTTATAATTTTACAATTTTACAATTTTGCAACTTTACAACCTTACAACCTTGCAACTTTACAACCTTACAACTTCACAACCTTACAACTTCACAACCTTACAACTTGACTACCTTACAACCTTACGACCTTGTAACTTTACAACCTTGCAACTTTACAACCTTGCAACTTCACAACTTTGCAATTGTATAACCTTGCAACTTCACAACCTTACAACTTCACAACCTTACAACTCTACAACTTTACAACCTTACAACCTTACAACCTTACAACGTTACAACCTTATAACTTTACAACTTTACAATTTTACAATTTTACAATTTTACAATCTCATAATTTTACATACTTACAATTTTTTACAATTTTATAATTTTGTCATCTTACAATCTCACAATTTTATTATCTTACAATCTTACAATTGTGCAATCTAATAATTTTCCAAATTTCCAAACCTTCTACCATCCATCATAGTTCTCAATAAACCACTATAACATTTTAGTAAGCATTAAACTAAAACATTTATTAAGACAATGACCTTGATTACATACCTAGAAGTCAACATCAAACTTCTCAAAAGTATATTCACCTATACATATTTCAAACCAAATACCAAATATCCGAATGGTTTATTAGAAAGATAAGCTTCGTATTCTTCCCCCAAACAATAACATCCTCCATGCAGAGAAATATTTAATTTAAAAATATGTTCGACAGGTAAATTTAGAACAGTCCGCCATGGAGGAAATTCTGCAGTTCGGCGAATTCAGTTCTCTGTTAAACAAATCTCATTCAACGAATTCGAGCGATAAGAACCAGGATTTCGTTTCTGCCGAGAACGAGAGGAAAATGGACGACCAAGAGGAGGACGCCACGGAAGACAGAAACAAAGAAAAAGACTCGAACAAGGATAAAGACAACTACGGTTGCCAAGTCGAGAACGGTCAAGATATCGTCTAATTAAATTCTCGCTTATTTATTTTTGTTCCCCGTGCTAAAAGATATTTTTCTATGAACAGAAAAAGAAAAATCCATAGTTAGATAATCATTCGATCCAGGTACTGTTTTCGATTTCGTTTAAACCTGCGATACGATCAAGTTTTATGAAATTTGGTTGTTGCTTTCAAGTGTTGATCATTTAATCTGTGTGCAATATTTAGTATCCGGAACGGATCGGAAATTATTATGATTTTTTCGTGTATTTAGGTTCATAGAATCATGTTAACGAAGTTTTGTAACTCTGACACGATTAATTGTTACGAAACGATTGTTATAAAACTATTGTTACTGGGATTCAACGAGCTCGTTGTTTTTTATCTGTTTCATTTCTGTGTGCATTCGTGTCATTGAGAAAATAATTAACAGACTCATGCAAGTGTATTTTTGTGATATACAGGGTGTTCACTATTTTTAATTCTTTAATACATTTGAATGTCTTTACAAATTACTTGAACTGATTTTGTTAATTTTTTGTTGAATATGTAGTTTAATTTTTGTAAGTTTAATCGTTAGACCGTAGTCTAACTCGTGAATTAAATTTGGCGGGAAATTTGCACCCTGTATAAGAGAGGTTATGAGACATAATTCAGGTTAATCGATCTCGTCGCAGACGCGAAACTTTATACCAAATAATTTTCGTATTTATTTATTTATTGATGTATTCGAGGTATCTTCGTTGTAGGTACAAGAGAAATTCTTTCGAAAGAGTACCTGAAACACCCCATGTTATTACGTGTGTCTAATTAACCGAGGGTGAATACAGGCCATGTAGAGAATAATAAATGAAACCTTATCTCTCGTTTCTCGAGAAAGATTGTGTAGTAGGTACTGATAAATCGAATTCTACGATGATTTGCCGTTCGAACGATGTTTGTGTCGGACGATAAGATTAGGGATGGAGGTTTACGTTGGAAACTCGACCAAATTTACTTAATCTCGAAGACTGCGGTGTAGTTTGCATTGTGAAACTGTTTGACTGAAACAAATTTTAGTTACACTTTTTCCTTTTTTGAATTAAAACAGAGATATAACAGGGAAATTTATTCAAATTTTATCGGCACAATATTTAGATTGCGAAGCAAGGTTACGAACCATTTTGTTTAAGCCCTTAACTTATGATTTTTTAAGCGAGTTGCATGATATTGTAAGGCAAGGGGTTAAATAAAATTTAAGAAACAAAAGACTACTGCATGAAGTTTAAAATGGACTGATAAATTTGTGAAATATAATTTCTGTACATTTCAATTTATTTGAAGCTCTGTTTTAATGTATTTTAAAAAGGAAGAGACGTTCATTTTCATTGTAAGATTTATTTAAACACGTTCGCTGCTTATCACCTTAAATTTTCAGTGAAAATTGGAAGTTTTTGTTGTGTATAACAAATGAAAATTAAATTGTGTCGTGTAAAAAATAATATTAAAAGTTAATAATAATATTAAATGGTATCTGTATGTATACAATTTGGGTTTCATAAGAAAGAAAATGGACGATGGTGAATTTTTAGTAAATGTATAACAGCGAACGTGTTTAATGAACGATGATGAGTTAATTCGTCATTTTATATATTCATATGAATTTTCAGTAAGTATTTAGCGTAATTAACAAGTCTTTTGCTAAATTGTATGGTATTTCTATTCATAAATGCATGACCTTCGGGATATCGATTTGGTCCAAATTTAGCAGAATTATGGATTTGATTTTTAATAGCAGGGATTTTGTAAAATTATTGCGTACAATAGCGTAATAATTTTAGAAATTTCAAAAATTGGAAATCTGATATTTTAAAAATATAGTAAGCAATTTGACAATTTGATAATTTGAAAATTTGGTAATTTGAGAATTTAAAAATTTGAAAGTATGACAATCTCATAATATGACAATCTGAAAATTTGAGAATTTGAGAATTTCAGGATTTGAGAATTTGAGAATTTGAGAACTTGAGAATTTGAGAATTTGAGAATTTGAGAATTTGAGAATTTGAGAATTTGAGAATTTGAGAATTTGAGAATTTGAGAATTTGAGAATTTGAGAATTTGAGAATTTGAGAATTTGAGAATTTGAGAATTTGAGAATTTGAGAATTTGAGAATTTGAGAATTTGAGAATTTGAGAATTTGAGAATTTGAGAATTTGAGAATTTGAGAATTTGAGAATTTGAGAATTTGAGAATTTGAGAATTTGAGAATTTGAGAATTTGAGAATTTGAGAATTTGAGAATTTGAGAATTTGAGAATTTGAGAATTTGAGAATTTGAGAATTTGAGAATTTGAGAATTTGAGAATTTGAGAATTTGAGAATTTGAGAATTTGAGAATTTGAGAATTTGAGAATTTGAGAATTTGAGAATTTGAGAATTTGAGAATTTGAGAATTTGAAAATTTAAGAAATTGGAAATTTGAGAAACTGGAAATTTGAGAAATTGGAAATTTGAGAATTTGAAAATTTGAGAAACTGGCAATTTGAGAAATTGGAAATTCGACAAATTGAAAATTTGAGAATTTGGAAATTCGACAAATTGAAAATTTGAGAATTTGAAAACTTGAGAAATTAGAAATTTGAGAACTTGAGAACTTGAGAATCTGAAAATTTAAGAAATTGAAAATTTAAAAATTTGAAAACTTGAGAAATTAAAAATTTGAGAACTAAGTTATAAAATTTAAAACTTGCAAATCTCTTATAAATAACTAACAAAGTCATCAAACAAATTTACCTACACAAATCACCCTATTAATCCTCCCCAAATCATTCAAATTTCCATTCAAACCTAAAATCACAATTTCCAAAATATTTTATAATATTTTTCCAAAATATTTTCAATTTAATATAAAAATTAAACAGTTAAATGTACAACAGTGCAAACTAAACCCACGTAGGTGAGGCTCAACAATTTTCGGAGCCAAAGAAGAAATGTAGTTTCAAATATTTTGTTATACACGCGATTATAATACGTCAAGTACAAATGTCCAAATATTAGAGTATACGTGTGCGTAAATGTGCGCGTGCCTGCCGTATATAGGGATGGAGATAAAATAACTATATGGTGTACGTGTATGGCGTATGTGAACTTGTTGATTGCGTTTGTTCTTTTGTTTGTTTACGGTGTAGCTTCTTTAATATAATCTTTCGTTTAACTAATACAATCACGTGTTTGATTTGAAGATTTTATATGTAACCATAATTACGTGTACATACTAACTGAACGAAATAATTCGATTCGAGGAAACTGTTAGGTTGGTGCATTATAAATATTAATTATAACTTAAAAATATTTATAAAATATTTTATATTTTTAAAATATATTGTAGCAAGTGTTATTTGAAAATTTCAACAGAGATTTTTGGTTTTTTATTTTCTAATATTTTTCTCTTTTATTGGCGTTTAATTAGATCTGTTGGTGAAAGTAATTGTAAAATGAATTCAAGAGTATATTATAAAAAATACAAAATTAATGTTATTTTTAAATTATTTTAAGAAGAAAAACTACTTTAAAATTCTTTAAAAAACATTATTTTAAAATTTGAAAATTTGAGAAATTATTTTTAAAATGAATTTTATTTTACGTAGCATGTAAAAAATTTCAAGCCAATGTGAGAGACATTAAAAAATGACTACCACATTATTTTTTACAACAAAATTGTTAGTGAAAATTAGAAGAGTCCAATGATGTTCATTTTTTTAAAATAATTATGCATTGATTTTGTAAAACAATTACGTGTCAGTTTTGTTAAACGAATACTTGTCAATTTTGTTAAATAATTGCATGTCAATTTTGTCAAACAGTTGTATGTCAATTTTGTTAAACAATTAATTTTGTTAAACATCTACCTGTTATATTTGTGAAAAAGTCACATAACATTTTTGTGAAACAATTTCGTAATAATTTCGTGAAAAAATGACTTTTGTTAATCTTGTCAAATAATTAAGAATTTCGAACAGAATATTTTAATATGCACCAACCTAATTTTCCTTCTCTTACGATACGTTCATTCGTGATTTTAAATAATAAGCCCTTCGGCTATTTATCTTTTTATTTCCACTTTTATACAATAATAGCAACAAAATACATAATTCAACATTTCGAACGTATCTTACGAAAGATTGATTGTCTTGGATATTAGACACAATCGAATAAGAAATCTTCATCGAATTATTCGATCTAATTCATTTTGCTAGAGTGACATTAAACGGTGTATGTACAACATGGAGCAGCGATAGTTATTTTCTAGGAAAATGGCGCTTGAAGAAGATAATTTACTTAGATTTTATTTGGGGAAATTGGTTAAATATTTTAACAAGGTGGAGAATCGAAATAATAGTTATTTTGGGAATTTTTGTTGCGATATGAAAATTTGGGGATTTTGGAATTTGGGGAAATTGGGGTTTTAGAAAATTTGGGAATTTGTGGATCTGAAAATTTGATGGAACTTTGAGAATTTGAAAGCTGAGTAATTTGGAAAAATGTAGAAATTTGGATATTTAAGAATTTCGAGTTTTGAGAATTTGGAAATTTGAGAATTTGGAATTTGAAGAATTTGGAAATTTGAGAATATGGAAACTTGAGAATTTGGAATTTTGAGAATTTGGAATTTTGAGAATTTGGAAATTTGAGAATATGGAATGGGGATTTTGGAATTTGGGGAAATTGGGGTTTTAGAAAATTTGGGAATTTGTGGATCTGAAAATTTGATGGAACTTTGAGAATTTGAAAGCTGAGTAATTTGGAAAAATGTAGAAATTTGGATATTTAAGAATTTCGAGTTTTGAGAATTTGGAAATTTGAGAATTTGGAATTTGAAGAATTTGGAAATTTCAGAGTTCCAAACTAAAAAATTGAAAAATGTGGAAATTTATACATTTAAGAATTCCGAGAATTACAGAGAATTAAAGAAGCTCAAAAAAATGAAATAACATAAAAATTTCCATTTTCGAACGCCATTTTCCCTAGAAACGACCATCATGCTCATGAGTGTACACGTCGACGCCATCCAAGTGGTATATTTCCGTAATATCAGTTGTTGTTGTTGTACAAGCTACATTTTGTTTCGTTAACATCTTGTTAATCGACCTATCAGTGTTACATTTTCCAGCTAATGTATAACTTTTATCATGACAATGTGCAATTATTTAAGTGATACGACGATTTGTTTAGCTACGAGTGGATTTCGTGCAATCCTTTTTAGAGCGTCCTCGTGGTCGCATCCGAGTCTTCATATCTTACATATATTATGTAGCCGTGTAAATAAAGTTTAAAGTCGATACTCTTTCCTTTTTTATTTTCATTCAATTAACCTTAAAAAAAATTTACCTTCTCCAGTCTTCACTGTTTCTGTCTCCAAAACTTGAGACAATTTTTTAAAGCATCTGAAGAAACTTTTGTTGTTATCGGATGACTAACAATTTCTAACATTGATGATGTTCAAGTTTGTTGAATAGCTTTGTGAAAGTACTATTTTTCTATTGTTATAACTGTTGATGCTGTGTTTAAATATATTATTATTGTAGATTTAACTATTTGTTTAAAGGTGTGCTTTTACTATAATTATATGTATATTTTTTTTTCAAAATGAAGAATTATATTTCTTTTGTTATTCAAAATATAGTTTACACGCTCTGGTGAATATTTAAGTAATTGGAAGAGTAAAATTCAAAGATATACTTACTGACAAATATTAAGAAACACATTGGTAAATAATTATAAGGAATATAAGAAAAATTGATTGTTGAAAAACAAAATAACAACAGTGAAAAGGTATGTAATGATCAAAAGGTATGAAAGGATGTCAACCCACGAGTTAGCGTGTGAGCTATGGTTTCAAATCGCTATATTCCAAAAGTACTACGTTTCTAAATCCCTATATTCTCAAATAGCTACGTTCCTAAATTGGTATATCCTCAAATTCCCACATTCCCAAATTTCTACATCCTCAAATTTCCACGTCCCCAAATTGCTATATTCCCAAATTCCAATTTTCCCAAATTCCCCTATTCCCAAATTACCACGTCCTCAAATTCCCACATCCCCAAATTGTCACGACCTCAAATTCCCACATCCCCAAATTTCCACCTCCCCAAATTGTTATATTCCCAAATTCCTACTTTCCCAAATTCCCACATTCCCAAATTCCCACATCCCCAAATTACCACGTCCTCAAATTCCCACATTCCCAAATTCCCACATCCCCAAATTACCACGTCCTCAAATTCCCACATCCCCAAATTCCCACATTCCCAAATTTCCACATCCTTAAATTACCACGTCCTTAAATTCTCACATCCCCAAATTTCCACGTCCCCAAATTGCTGTATCTTCAAATTCCCACATCCCCAAATTGCCACGTCCCCAAATTGCCACGTCCCCAAATTTCCACATTCCCAAATTCCCACGTCCCCAAATTCCAACATCGCCAAATCACCACGTCCCCAAATTCCTACATCTTGAAGTCGTCACATCTCCAAATCGCCACGTCCCTTTTCTACATCCCCAACTCTCTACGTCCCCAAATCTCTACACCTTCAAATCACTACGTCCCCAGCTAGCTACGGCTCGATTGTTTGATTGATTATTGTTGTGAGTGTCTACTACTATGGTCATTAGCCCACTACGGCTCGAATTCTTCATAATAGACAAATCTCACCACCTCACCCATATTTTCAACAGTTCAATTGGCTCTCACCCCAATTACACCAATAAACAATTCCAGTCAACATCTCATCGTTTCATCATCTCAAGCAATCAAGACAGCGCAACTTGCGTTCAGTAATTGTTATACCCATCACTACTCTCATCACCTTGAATATGTAACATATGTATAACTAAAGTAACTATCCACTTTGTTCACAGCGTTCACATCTTCTTTTATCTTGTATTCCATTGCATTTATCTCTCTTGAAAAAGATGGCGCTTGATTCTTCTTTTATTTTACTTCAATTCTTTTAGTTTAGTTTTATTCTTCTTTTATTTTAGATCTCACGCGACAGCTCACGGATTGACATCAATATACACATTCATCTTTCCTCATTAATAATTTTAATATTTATCGACATACATTATATTTTTACAAATATGTTTTCCGCTTGTACACAAACTGTTTTTCAGGGACCAGTGGGAAAGTCAGGGATATAATATATGTATATATTAATTTTGTTCGCTGAGCATTAATCATATACTTTCTCTTCATTTATGATTTGCGATTTACGTAACGTCAAGCTGCATATATTAACCTCAATACGTCCGGTACCGGAAGTAAAAAAGTCACGGACAAAGAAACGTCCAATGTCGGCCAGTGATTATTTGTTTCTTCAAAAACTTTGATTCACTTTTAAATGTTTTTCTTCTCTTTTAACTAACGTTCATTCGGGTTACAATAACAACATCGAAAGCACAGTATGTTCTTCGTTTTCCAGTTTTCTTCACTTTTTTGGGTAATTGTGGTTTACAATAGTTTTGTCAAACGTGGGACAATGTGGTGGGGGTTGAAAGACGTTCTAATCGTGTCGAGTAGAACGTGTTTCTAACAAATAATGTTTTACAGGATAAAGTTATTATTATTTTTGTATAAAGTTATTTCGGTTTTTGTTGTTTTGTGTTTGTGTCACGTGGGGAGAACGAAGATTTCTTTTTGTCGGGGGTTTGAAAGGGCGCTGAATTTTATAAAAATTGAAAATTTCTAATTTTTTATATTTCAAGATTTTATATTTGAAAAATATTTGAAATTTTTAATTTTGCATTGTAAGATAAATAAATTTACAAGTTGAGTTGTAGGATTGCAAACTCTGAAATTTGCAAACTCTCTAATTTTCAAATTTCCAAAGCCAAAAATAACAAAATTTCTGTATTTCCAAATTCTCAGTTCCCCAAATTACTATTTCACCAAATTTCTATATTCCCAAATTCTCAATTCCCCAAATTACTATTTCACCAAATCTCAATACCCCCAAATTACCATTTCCCCAAATTTTCAATTTTCCAAATTACTATTTCACCAAATTTCAATTCCCCCAAATTAATTAATCCCCAAATTACTATTTCACCAAATTTCCACCCCCCCAAATTAATTAATCCCCCAATTTCAACCCCCCAAATTACTATTTCACCAAATTTCAACCCCCCCAAATTAATTAATCCCCAAATTTCAACTCCCCCAAATTAATTAATCCCCAAATTACTACTTAACCAAATTGCAACCTTCCCAAATTAATTAATCCCCAAATTACTATTTCACCAAATTTCAATTCCCCCAAATTAATTAATCCCCAAATTACTATTTCACCAAATTTCAACCCTCCCAAATTAATTAATCCCCAAATTACTATTTCACCAAATTTGAACCCTCCCAAATTAATTAATCCCCAAATTACTACTTAACCAAATTGCAACCTCCCCAAATTAATTAATCCCCAAATTACTACTTAACCAAATTGCAACCTCCCCAAATTAATTAATCCCCAAATTACTACTTAACCAAATTTCAACCCCCCCAAATTAATTAATCTCCAAATTACTATTTCACCAAATTTCAACCCCCCCAAAGTAATTAATCCCCAAATTACTACTTAACCAAATTTCAACCCCCCCCAAATTAATTAATAATTTTGAATAAATTCAGAAACTCAGAGCCCTATCATACCCGACAACAAAGTTACCCCTGTTGCTCCCACGTTACATTAACTATAAATGTAATAATCAAAGTTAAAAATTAATAACACATCTCAGAAGGGGTACCTCATAAACGAAAGTGAATTTATTATTTTTTCCGAGAACGTTCTGTATACGACTCACGTTTGAATATATATACTGCGTAACAAGTATCTGAAATTCGAAATTTCAAGCGACCATTTATTTTTTCAACCGTAATTATTTTTTTTTCATCGATTCAACCAACTATCTCTTTAAGGTCTATTCTAAGCTTTCTTTTAAAGCGGTAACGATTTTGCTATTTTCAACGAACGTTTTCTCTATCGTTTATACTACGTCGGTTCTACTTACAAATAGAAACGAAAAAATGAAACATTTACATATATCGCATGTTTAAACTCCTACCACCCCAAGACGTAATTCAATCTGAACGATCCTCACATCGACTTAAGGCTACGTTTTTTTTTTTTTCTTCATCGCAACACTTTGCTAAACGGTAAGTTATTTGTACAGAAAAAATTGTAACAATGTAAAATAATCATAATTGTCAGTCATATATATATAATATAGCTTTCATATATCTCATAAATTTCGAACGACGATATATAGTAATTTTGTCCAAAAATATATATACATATATAAATTATTGTACACATCTTATTTCGAATAAAAAGTTCATTCATCTTCATTTTTTTTCTTTTTTAAATCGCGCGGACAGCGATAGCTTTTCTTTTGCCGTCGATCGATCACCTTAAACGCATCAAAAAATGGAGAACAATTAATGTTGAAACGAATTTATAACGCTGTTATGTTTCGAAACGCGATATTCAACAATTCTCATCATTCGTGTAGCAATTTTTTACGATTATTTACTACGATGTTCTACCGACGTTTTTCAGGGCCGGATCTTTTGAGGGGCTATTAGGGCTGGATCCTTTGGAGGGCTATTAGGGCTCAGTGTATTGATTATCATATCGACTTTTAACTTCAATTTAAGATTACAGATGTTACGATAAAATTATACAAAATTAGGTGTTATTAAGTATCTCAGCAATATCGATCAGCTGATTTAACCTTGTTTACATAGTTGAGAATTCGATAAATAAGTAAGGTTAGAAATAGTGTTTGAAAATAGCGAATTCGATGATTGTTCAAAGTTATATTGCTGCCAAATATTCGTTCATTGTCTACAAAAGATCTTAATGACTTCGTGACAAAAAATCCATAACTTCATTCGAACAGTTCGAATTACCACACGATTTCCTCGATGCACATCCTCATTCATGGATTTTAAACAAAAGTTATAATTGTCAAAAATTGAAAAGTTTGCAAGTTGTTAATGATACGGCAGAGCGAGGAGTAGCATCGACAGAAGAATTTAATAAATGTTTAACTAAAAACGAGGATCAGTTGCTATATTTATTACAAGCAGTGCAACGACACCTCGAAGAATATCCATCGTGTAATAAAAATGATTTGGCAGAAGAAAACTATGGGACTTGAATTAAATGCATGAAAGTATATTTAAATTATAAATTCGATACCTATAAGTTAAGGTAGAATACAAATATAGAAGATAACTATTGATAAGTAGTTTTAAATAAATAGAAAAATTGTTAAAAAATTATATTTTCAATTTTATTTTGTGAACTTTGGGAGATTTTTTTAGTAACTAAAAATTTTTATACTAACTTGAAGGGTGGGAAAAGAAATTGGAGCCACCCTAATATTTAGCCCCCTCTTTCTAGCTACTCTAGATTCGTCCCTGCAAGGGTTCCCGTTATGGCCCAGTTCTGACCCCAATATTCACACCCCTATTTTTAATATTCAGATCTAATCGATAAATAATACAGAGTCGAAAGCAAGAAACCTTTAATTCTAATAAATTGAGCTTCGGGCCATAATCGGTACACCTAATTTATTATTCAATACCGAAATGATTTAAAACGATACCGTGTAGTTTCCACGAATACTATCAACAAGTTGTTCGATACAAAATGGCCGTAGGGGCGTTTACGTTCCATTAACCGACACTATAATTGCAACTGACGATTGAAATTGTCAACGAACAAAAAGGAAATTATGTCCGATAAAAATTCTTGACTAGTAACAATAAAGTACCTTAAATAGTATCTTATTGTCGTATAAAATGCGTGTGCCATTTTTTTTTTTGTTCTTTTGAGATATATCCAAGTAAATTTTCATACTCCAATCATGTAATAAAATGCTGTACGTGCTCTCGATACTTATTGATATTTTGTGCGATATAACGAGTTTTTTTAACTTTTTTTTTTATTTACTTTCAGCTATGCCTCTCTCGCTTCTCTTGGTTTACGTCTAATGTGCACCTTTTTGTAATACGAGTATCATTCACACAGTGAATTTATTTATAACGTGTGTAGAAATTCTATGTTATCGAAACGAAAGTCATTATGATTTTAATAATCCTTTAATTCGATTAAGAAGGTTTCTTGTTTATATTAGCTTGAATTTGTAGATGTGCGTTTGTATGTGATTCTCGCCAAGCAATTTTTGATTCTCTTAATTTACAGATACATTACTGTTTAAACAATAATAGGGTACTTTCAAATTTATCGGTAATATTTCATAATTTTACGGTACTGTTTCAACAAGTTTTTTAGGGTACTTCTCTGTTTATTTCTTGCAATAAATAATTAAATTGTGTCTTCTGCACGAGACAAGTAAGTGTTATATTTTTTAAAAGAGAAAGACTGTAACAGTATCAAATAATTCCTGTGTTCACCGTCAGTTTTTTCAGCGAAGTATGTAACATTTCGAAAAGGTGTTCAAAAATGTAGTCAGTGATTAACGTTACCAGTTACAACAAACAGTTGATAATTAATATTTTCAATTTTTTATTCGGTATATGCTATGATATGGTTTCACTTATTGACACAAATTCATTTTGTGTTGCACGACAGTATATCGCAATCGAGATTCTCGCAGACGCAAACCAAGAACAATTATAAAATATATAACTTGTCAGATTTTTTATTTCGTTCAAAACTGAACAGCGCATAACGACAAAGTATTTATCCGATACACACAAACTCTGTCCATTTACTATCGTTTAAACATTTTATACCGAAACTATTTCATACAAAATTCTTCAATGACGAAAAAAGTATATACTGTTATAATAAACATGTCACTTTAGCAACACAGAAAATGATTTTTAATTTTCATTTTTAATCACACCATTTATCCTCGTTAAGTTCATTCATGGGTTCGGTGACAACGTAACTCGACGATAAAGCTAATGGAGGACTGCCATAACGAATAAACGAATGACAATTATATACGTACAGATTTAATCTATTTACTATTTAATGATTGAAGTCCATTGAGTCGTTCGAACACTGGGTGTTTTGTATCCATTAGAGCAGGCCTGGGCAACACGGTGCCCCTAGGGTAAGTCAGATGCAGGCTCGGGCGTCTTATGCACGGAGCGAGGATTGTGCCCGAGGATAACCGAATCGAAGGGCACGAGTTGCCCAGGCCTGCATTAGAGAATACCCTGTGAATTTACTCCTTTTGCGCCTTCTCTTTTCGCCTCTATGTTTCATTGTCTTCGTGCTCGGAATTTGTCATAACCATATCTGTCAATCATAGTTAAATTCCCATAATTATTGTTGTAATTATTACAATTATTATTGCAGAATTAAAAATTGCAATTCAAATTAAAAATCATTGTTATTCCTAAGGGTTATCTACTTAATCAACTAATTTCATATTTACACATTTCACAACTTTAAAATTTATTTACTTGAAATCCTAAAGGTTACAAATTTTTAACTCCTTCCCGTACTTTGACGAGTCTCGCGACGCACTTGCAGCTAAAATGTGACAAACCTTACTGAAATGAATACTCTTTAACTTGAAATTTTGGACCAGCTATAAGTTACATTATCAAGGATCCCTGAATATAAAATAGTTACATTTTAATTTTCTTTGTTCGTTTCAATGTTATAGTTCTGAATAATTAGTCTTGACTGACGCATCTGTTAACACTAAAACTACCAAGCCAAATGACCGCTCCACAAGTTTCTTATTAAAAGGTATTTTGTTGAAGTACATTTCTTGAAATCAGAATTGATTTTCATCAAGATAAAGAATAAATGTGTGTACTAATTTATGTTTCATCGTTTGTTTATTTAATATTTAACTTCATTTTTAATTTCAAATTAAGTACGCATGGTTTAGTGTTAAATAAATGGTACGGGAAGGGGTTAATAACTGAGAAATCCATTTTTCTAAATGAAAATTCTTAAGCATCTAAAATAACTGTGCGTACCTCATCGCTATTTAGCACTAGTCAGACCTTCTCCCCGGTTTGTTCAACCTTTTCCTCCTCCGCAGTCTCTTGTTTCTCTTTCTCGTTCTCCTTCTCTCTTTGCTGTTCCTTTTCTCTTTGTTGTTCCTTCTCTCTCTGTCGTTCCTTCTCTTTCTCCTTGCCTTTCTCCCGCTCCCTCTCCCGTTCCGCTTTCCGTTCCTTCAGGATCTCCATTCTCCGCGCTCGGTGCAAACTTCCAGAAGGGAAAGTTGAGTCTTCGACCGCGGCAGCCGCGGCCGCGCTGGCTCCTCGCTCCACGGCTGTCTGCTCAATAGTTTACTTCACTGTATTTATGAATTGCTCTACTACTAGCGTTATCATTAGGCAAATAGGTCCCTTACAGAAAAGTATACCAAGTGCTTCGCTCAATTTGTGTTTCAAATTTAGAGTAGTTATTAATATAGGTATTTTAAATTTAATGGAGACTTCAGGGTTGCTGAAGTCTTTAGAGTTTTTAGCTTCAGAGGTGCTGAAGTTTTCAATCAACGAGATTTCTTTCTGAGAAAAGTATAGACCGAGTGCCTCACTCAATTCGTATTTCAAATTTAGAGTATCTACTTCGTATAGGTATTTAAAATTTAATGAAGTCTTTAGGGTTGCTGAAGATTTCAGAGTTTTCAGTTCCAAAGTTGCTGAAGTCTTTAGAGTTGTCAGCTTCAGAGTTGCTGAAGTTTTCATTCAACAAGATTTCTTTCTGAGAAAAGTGTAGACCAAGTGCCTTACACAAATTCGTATTTCAAATTTGAAATACCACATCAAGCAGATATTTAAAATTTAATGAGGACTTCAGACTTTGCTGACATCCTTCAAACTTCAGATTTGCTGAAGTCTTCATTCAGCAGGATTTCTTTTTAAGACATTCTTCATAAAATATGAACAAGTTTTAATGAGATCATAGGATTTATGGATTGAATTATCGATATATTATATATATTTTATACATATAAGTCAAATTGCAATTTTATTTTGGACTCTGCTAGTATTGATTAAATGTCAGTTTCTAGATATGCAGTTATAATAATTTTGACACTTGCAATACTTGTATTCTGTAAGGGATAAGAAAAAGACCAAGACGACTTAGATACATACTTTCAATATAAAACTGGCTGTCGAACTCTTCGCGATTGGACTTTGGGCCGAGGATGGATGAGTATGTCCATGACCGTGGGTGCTGAAGTATCCGCCAGCTTTTGATTTGATGTGACGATTGTACATTTCCATGTGCACGATCTTCATGAACTCGATTTGCGCGGCTAACTTCTGGATCTCCTCCTACGTCATTCAGCAGAATTTACTGTATTATAATTTTTGAGAGATCATTTTTATTTTTTGCATGATTTCTTTAATTTTAACAAGGAATTTTATGTCCACAAGTTCAACTGTGCCTATGAAGTTAAGATAGTAAGTTTACCTTGAGCTCCTCGTTTTCTTGATGCAAGTCCGTAGTCTCCTCGGACACCAAACCGATTCCATTTAACGAGAAGCTTGCTGTAACACCTCTAGCTCTGGCACGGCTATCCCATTGATCGCCTTGTCCTCGTAAAACTCGAATCACCTACAATTAAATAATTTAGCATGAATTGAAAAAATTGAAGAGCTTTAAACTTGACGTGAATTTAAACATTAGTAATGTGAATTACTAATTTCCTAATTCCCCCAATGCTTAATTCCCTATTTCCCAAATTCCCAAATTCCCAAATTCCCAAATTCCCAAATTCCCAAATTCCCAAATTCCCAAATTCCCAAATTCCCAAATTAGAAATTCCCAAATTCCCAAATTCCCAAATTAGAAATTCCCAAATTCCCAAATTCCCAAATTAGAAATTCCCAAATTCCCAAATTCCCAAATTAGAAATTCCCAAATTCCCAAATTCCCAAATTAGAAATTCCCAAATTCCCAAATTCCCAAATTAGAAATTCCCAAATTCCCAAATTCCCAAATTAGAAATTCCCAAATTCCCAAATTCCCAAATTAGAAATTCCCAAATTCCCAAATTCCCAAATTAGAAATTCCCAAATTCCCAAATTCCCAAATTAGAAATTCCCAAATTCCCAAATTCCCAAATTAGAAATTCCCAAATTCCCAAATTCCCAAATTAGAAATTCCCAAATTCCCAAATTCCCAAATTAGAAATTCCCAAATTCCCAAATTCCCAAATTAGAAATTCCCAAATTCCCAAATTCCCAAATTAGAAATTCCCAAATTCCCAAATTCCCAAATTAGAAATTCCCAAATTCCCAAATTCCCAAATTAGAAATTCCCAAATTCCCAAATTCCCAAATTAGAAATTCCCAAATTCCCAAATTCCCAAATTAGAAATTCCCAAATTCCCAAATTCCCAAATTAGAAATTCCCAAATTCCCAAATTCCCAAATTAGAAATTCCCAAATTCCCAAATTCCCAAATTAGAAATTCCCAAATTCCCAAATTCCCAAATTAGAAATTCCCAAATTCCCAAATTCCCAAATTAGAAATTCCCAAATTCCCAAATTCCCAAATTAGAAATTCCCAAATTCCCAAATTCCCAAATTAGAAATTCCCAAATTCCCAAATTCCCAAATTAGAAATTCCCAAATTCCCAAATTCCCAAATTAGAAATTCCCAAATTCCCAAATTCCCAAATTAGAAATTCCCAAATTCCCAAATTCCCAAATTAGAAATTCCCAAATTCCCAAATTCCCAAATTAGAAATTCCCAAATTCCCAAATTCCCAAATTAGAAATTCCCAAATTCCCAAATTCCCAAATTAGAAATTCCCAAATTCCCAAATTCCCAAATTAGAAATTCCCAAATTCCCAAATTCCCAAATTAGAAATTCCCAAATTCCCAAATTCCCAAATTAGAAATTCCCAAATTCCCAAATTCCCAAATTAGAAATTCCCAAATTCCCAAATTCCCAAATTAGAAATTCCCAAATTCCCAAATTCCCAAATTAGAAATTCCCAAATTCCCAAATTCCCAAATTAGAAATTCCCAAATTCCCAAATTCCCAAATTAGAAATTCCCAAATTCCCAAATTCTCAAATTCCCAAATTCCCTAATTCCCTAATTCCCTAATTCCCTAATTTCCTAACTCCCTAATTCTCTAATTTCCTATCTCCCTAATTCCCTATCTTCCTAAATCCCTATCTCCCAAATTCTCTAATTCCCCAATTCCCCATCTCCCTATCTCCCTAATTCTCTAATTCCCAATCTCCCTAATTCCCTAATTTCCTATCACCTTAATTCCCTATCTCTCTAATTCCCTACCTTCCTAATTCCCTATCTCCCTAATTCTCTAATTTCCTAATTAACCTGTCCTCGTAAAACTCGAATTACCTATAGTTAAATAAATTAACATGAATTACAAATTTGAAAAGTTTCAAATTTACCATGAATTTAAACAACTGAAGTATAAATTACCTTAGGTGCAAATACAAGAAAGACAGTAACAGAGGTCGACAGTTGTGTGCGCAAAAATCCCAACAAGTATTTGATATCTGGACCGGCGTGAGGGAAAATGAAGAGGCTGCAAAAGAAGAATAAAAGAACGTTACATATAAAAATTAAATTAAGTTAACGTGGACAACATGTATTAAGAATGAAAAATCATACTGAATTGCGATCATAGTTATATTCACAGCGGCTATGTTATAAATTGCGTAGCTTATCAAACGGGCCTCGTTAAAGAGACTTTCCGCGTTGCGAACGTTGTAACACACTTTAATGCCCCATGCAAGGAACAGAATTTCCCCTGAAAGGAAAAGTTCGTGTACCATACATTTTCTTGCGACCCAGTTTAAGTACAGTTTCATATATTATTGTACATAGGTATGCATAGGAATACAGCTACTGAGTCTATCGATTTTAATATCAAACGGAATCATACGGATATGTGTATGCACGTATAATCGTAGGTACAGTCGTTCCTTGAACAAATTGTTAGAATATTATGGAATTTTTCTTTTGTAGAATTTTTAGTTTTCTTAGAAGTTAGGGGATGTTGGAAATTTGGGAAACTGGACATTTTTAGAATTTTGGGATTGCAAGGATTTGGTGCTTTTAATTTTAGGATTTGGAGAATTTGAGAAATTTGGGGAACGTGGGAATTTGGGAAATTTGGGAAATTTTGGAGATTCGGGAGATTTGGAATATTTGGGGAATACAGGAATTTGAATAGTTTGGGAAATTTAGGGAATGTGGGAATTTGGGAAATTTGGGAAATTTGGGGAATATAGGAATTTGGGGAGCGTGGGAATTTGGGGAATGTGGGAATTGGGGAAAGTGGGAATTGGGGAATGTGGGAATTGGGGAATTTGGGAATTGGG